GAAAAATAGGGAGAAGGAGAGGAAAACGTCTAGGCGACGCGAACCCGTGATCGGCGATGAAAATTACAAACTTTCCACGCGGCGCGAGAACGTTTCCTAACCTTTGTGGCAAACTGTCGACGGTTCATAAAGTAGCCGGAGTACATTTTCCCGGTGCTTCTCGATGTATTCGAGAGATAAGCATCTGCATTTAACGAGCGGTTCGTTCGACACCGCGATTTCCACGCGATCCAGCGAAGAAACACGCGCGGAAAAGCGCGCCGCGACGACTCGCGAATTATAACAGTCGCTAGGCATCGTGAGCGTGATCGAAAGAAGCTCTGTAACGCTTTATACGACGCGATACATTATTAACAGCGACTATTTTTCGCACAGATTCACGCCAATGATCGAGGAATCTCGTTTGGAAGAAAGATTCCGAATTTGTCGCGAGTAGAATTTATTTTACGAGACTTTACTTTTTGAGGGAGGACTGTTTCTTTTTTTTTAATAAAATTACATTGCACACGATTAGAATCTTTAATATTTACGAGAATTTGATTTTGTACTACTTGAGAACAAGATTTGTAACTGTTGCTGATTTAATAGGACGTTTTCTGACCGATATACGAAAGAGATTTCAACGCGCGCATAGGACAGTTGCGCGGAGATTTCAACGCGCGCATAAGACACTTCTTCGGAGACTTCAATGCACGGTTGGTCGTATTGAACTGAACTTGTTAAATAGTACAGAATATTATTGCGTAACTTTTCATCGGACGACGATTCCAATTCTATCGAAAGTAACGATTCGAGCGAAAGTAACAAATAGAATACAGTATGATTTACGACATTGGTTATCGTAATTTGCAGCATCGCTTCGTTTCAATCTTCAACTATATAGCTCATTTGATCCTTCTATTGTCATGATTACACAGGCGATAGCGATCATTTGCGATTTGTTTGCCTCGCTTCTGCAAAATAATTGCATCCACGTAAAAAAACTACCTCGTTTGTGATCGAACAATAACAATTAAAGCTCGAGCGATTCATCGGCTAATCGTGGAACTCGAGGCAGTAAAATAAATATCGGTATTGAATCCTTACGTAATCAACGTCGCGGAATGATCGTCGTCGTAAAACGCGAACTATCACGTGTAAATGCGCAGTTACGTTTGTGAATCCTCTTTGAAAAGAGGAAAAACAAAGGAAGAAAAAACGTCGATCTGCACAATACAAATCGCCACGACGACGAGATCCGCGAATGTATTTCGATTACGCTTATCCTTGCCGTTCCCTGCGCCAGCTCATTTAAAACGAGACAAATGTTATATCATGGTATCACACAGTTGAATGGAATAAACCAGGAGAGAAGGCAACGCGTCGTTCGAAGTGGGAGGTGCCCGATCAGCAACCAATAGAAAGAGCCGCCACCCACGAAGCTATAAAAATTAATTTATCACATGGATCGCCGCCTACGCCATTGCTCCGTTCGCGGCGCCGCAATTTCGCAGCATCCCGCGAGATAGCGTTATCTGTCGGGTCTTCCAAATGGTTAGACGTGTTTGAATTTTTGCAGAAGCTGTATTTACGAAGGATCGTAGGATCTTTTTATGGTTCTTGTTATTACAGATAACCTCGATTTATACCACTGTTAAAGAATGACAAATTTGTTGGAAGAAATGGGTAGAGGTAAAATAGATTTTATACAGTTGCAATACGTACATGCAACAAGTATGCACTTGTCGCAAAGTTGTATCGCAACTATCCATTATGGCGTAGTTCCATTCTTCGAACGAATGAACGTAACGTCTCGTTAAAAGTAATTTAACGATGATGTTTAATTTTACGATGGTGGAGGTGAGTATTTAAATGGTGTATATTGATAGAGATTTTGTTGCAGAGGGCACCATGATACGGCGGTTGTAAAGAATAAGGCTAATTATCCTGGGAGACATGATGAGAGAATACTGACGTACCGACAGAGATAATACCATGGGAGAAGAACGAAGTGTTTCCATGTGTGCACAAACCAGATACAGAACAGATCACCACAGGCGGGATGCTGAACAGACCTGTCATCCAATGCGTTGGTTTGTCCACGTCACGAGGGCTCTGGAGCCCCGTTACCATTTTCGTGTCGCTTCCGTAGTTACCGATTCAGCGTGGAATAAGATTTCAACATTTGTAGTGGGTGGAATTAAAGCTAAATGTAATTTACAAATATGTGTTTCGCAGTGGGAAATGTGTGTGGTGTGTAAGGGAGAAATGAATAGACTATAAAATGCTGTAAAACAATGCAAGTATGTTGTAAATTTTTGTAAAATACATTTTGTACACTTATCTTGCAATGAATAATTTGTATTTTCATAAATAATTGCATTTCTTTGTTCTTTCTGATATTGAAATCCTTTCCTTTACTCCTGCGGCGGCCTTAAACCCCTCCATTTATAAACAAAAAGAACATTAAGTTTCACCTGTTAAATAAAAGTTAAAAACAATTTCTAACTAATCTACTGCATCCAGTTGTTAACACGATACAAAATTAATACATTATAATAAATTGATACGCTAATTAGGTAATAAAATAAGCTGTTTACCTCATTCTTTCGAACTTGGAAAATTTTGGCGCGCCTGGGAAGCGATTGACTTGCACTACTTGCTGGTTTCTGCAAAATTTCGAACGTCCAAGAAGTGGTTGACTTGCACTACTGGCTAATCGCGAAAAATTTCGAGCGTCTGAGGTATGGATGACTTTCACTACTGGCCTGAACAAATTTCGACGCCTGACTTATGGTTGACTCGCAGGAAATCTGAGAAATTTAAAAATTTTCTGAATTTTAAAATTAAAGCTACGAAAATTAGAGAAAGATTTCGAAAATCGCGCGAATACACTCGTTCGGTGCTCAAGTCCTCGAGAATTCCTGGAATTTACGTCATTTCTCGGAAATGACGAAATTTCCAAGAATCGAGTCGATTCCAAGAATTGACCAAAGGGCATTTGAAAATTTCGGTTCTCGAGAATTCCTGGAATTTACGTCATTTCTCGGAAATGACGAAATTTCCAAGAATCGAGTCGATTCCAGGAAGCGACCTCCTTTAGCATCATGTTCGCCTATTAGAAAGTCGATTTTCAGCCAAAGGCTCTTCGAAAATTTCAGTTCTCGAGAATTCCTGGAATTTACGTCATTTCTCGGAAATGACGAAATTTCCAAGAATCGAGTCGTTTCCAAGAATTGACCAATGGGTCTTCGAAAATTTCGGTTCTCGAGAATTCCAGGAATTTGGTCATTTCCGAGAATCGAGTCGATTCCAAGAACTGACCTCTTGTCATATCATGTTCGCCTATTAGAAAGTCGATTTTCGGCCAAAA